ATACCACAATAAATTCCCGCCTAAGGTCGAAGTATAAACCTTAGCCGGGTGCAGTACATGATAAGTATGTTTAAATATGAATCTCAGCCGGTCCGTGTACCCCTACTTCAATCATTTGAATCATTATCTAGCAACAAAGTTTTGGTTGAAAATTTTGCTAATTAAAATAAAATAAGGCAAAGGTAAATGGTTTTGAAAGCTCTTTGTGAGAAGGATCACTCGGGTGTCGCTTCCCCCTAACTACTACCATGGTATGTGAATTGAAACAATTGATATGGGCAAGGTAACCGCGAATCACAGAGGGATGCAAATATGGTCGTAGACCACAATCTCGATCGCTAAACCGAGGTATACATTATAGGCCGTGCCACTAGGCCATCTCGGTTTTGCCCTAAATTAACATAGTTAGGTGGCTTGAAAAGCTAAATGAAAACCAACTCGATTGAGTCTCCCTTGGAAGGGGGATTTTCCTCTCTAATCTAGGTTAAAGTGGCTAATTAGATTGCTAAGCACCAACATGAACAAACCTAAGGATGCTTAGCACAGTTATGCACAATCCTTAGGTTGCTAAGCACCAACATGCACAAACCTAAGGATGCTAAGCACAAAACAAAACATGCACAATCCTTAGATTGCTAAGCACAAGCATGCACAATCACATGAATAATACCTCAATCATTGAATTAAACAATACCCAATGACAATCATTCAATTCACATAAAAGAAACTACATGAAAAGAAATCTACTCCATGCTAGAAATGGGAGAAACACAAGGAGAAGAGGTAGAAACCATCTTGGGGGAGGCTTCAAATCTTCTAGACCCTTGTGCTGAACTTCTCTTGGGGAGAATCTTCCCAAATCCCAACTTGGAGCAAAACCCTAGCCTCCTTCTCCTTTGGTTCGTGTTTCTCTCTCTAAAATCTGAAGAAGGCTTTCTCACACAATGTGCTCTCTCCTCTCTCTTACTTTCAGCTCAGCTTTTAAGAAGTGAACGAGCTCAGTTCAAGGCCTGAGTTCACGGTTGTGAACTCTGAAACGCGTCCGTGAACTCCAGATGGGCGCCGAAACGCACCGCTTTGCTTCCACGGGTTCACGGCCAATAGCTCCTGTTCACGGTCTTAGCGACCGTGAACTCAATTAGCGTCAGTAATTTGCATTTTGGCCTTGGACGACTCAATGTTCACGGCCAACGGCTCTTCTTCACGGTTATACAAGACCGTGAACATCCAAGGGAAACCGTGAACTCGCCATTTTTCACCTCTTCTGTGGGTTTTTGCTCCTTTTCGTCCAACTTTCGATTCTTTGGCTGGTTTCACCTGTTAAATCCTGAAACACACTAAAACACGAGAAACCTAGCGTAACACCACCCTTTTAGGAGCGAAATTGCCACAAATGCCTAAGGAAAAGGGGGTAAAACTTGTACAATTAGGCCTGAATGAATCCCCACACTTATACGTTTGCTTGTCCCCAAGCAAACCATTTTACACAAGGTGATATTTGAACTTACACAAATACTTTGGGGACAACGCAAAGGGCACAAATTGGGAATTCTCGATGGCTATTGGCGATTAACTCATCGACCGTTGCAAACGATACCGACATCCACCACAAACGACATTCAAAGCCACCAAAACGGGCTAACGAAAAGTTCTCACCTTGTTCATGGATCAATGCAAGTCTCAACAAGACCACTTATCAACTACAACCAACCATGCATGGAATTCAAGTCTGATGAACAAATGGAAAGGCAACAAAGGTCCTCACCGGGGTATGGTATGACATGCAAAACAAGAATGAATCACTCACTCTCAAGACCAGTGGGGTTGGGACCTTTTGGTGCAAAAGATGTGCACAATAATAAACACTCGGCTCTATCTTCTCGATACCATGGCGGTAACCTCTAAATGCTAGAGTTCACGGGATGGTTGTCACCACTAGCTTGTCCGGAGGTCTTAGACACGGGTTCAGATGACTGGCAATTGTCTTGGACATGGGAAAAAGGCTTTTTGGGTGGTGGCAATCATGACGTGAGGTTCTACATTTTCAACCTAAAACCCGAAGGTTATATGGTTTCGACTAAAACCCTTCTCTACAACCCAAGGCCACTAGCATCGGCCCAAAACCTTATCTCTCATTTCTAAACTATAAACCATCCTGAACTACATTGAAATACTCTTCCTCGGTCTACTCTTGCTAGCACATTAAGGTTTGGTAGTGAAGGAGTTCTAAACCAATGTGGGGGTTTCAATGGCTTAAGTGCCAAGAAACCCCTCCTAGAGCATGTACTTTGGTTTTTCGTGGCAATCTCTACTTTATTTACCCCATTTTATTACCTCTTTTTTCGTTTCTCTTTTCTTTTTTAGGGTGGTACAAGAGAGTAAAACCTTTGCCACCTATACATTTAACGACCAATGCTCTCTTTTTGAAGAACTCACTTTAACACTACACTTAATTTTTCATTCCTGGCAAGAACCGCACACAAACCTCCTATATAGAACCTCAATGGAACTCGAAAGTGAGAGCTCCGAGACACAAGGATGACTCATGTTTAAACACGAATAAAGGATTGGGGGTCGTTCTATCAACACCATTAAGCTCACAAGCACGAAGCTCCTAACTTAAGAACGACCCTCGAAGTCACAAGGCTCAAAGGGGTTGACTGAGGGATAACACATTTGGGGACAATCAACATTTGGGCGTCAACTAATTCTATGCCTCCATCATACTCACTAGTGACAAATGTTATGTTACTCGCCATGGTAAAAGGGATCTAAGCACACAAGAAGAAAACGATCGGCTCAAAGCTCACATTGCTACCTAGTCACCCAACCATCTATTCCAATTCACAAACACAATGCATGGCAATTGTAATCAACAAGTAATCGAGTCAAGACATCCATTCAGTTATGCACACATGAGAACTCAACATTTGCACTATCCTAATGAACCTCTCAGTCATCATCATAGGATATACTCGATCACATGCAACAATTCAAGATCAATGCCAATAAACACGAGAATTTCCCACACACCGGCCACTTTGATCATGCAAACATTGCCTGGAGCCCTCAAATTTTTTAAATTTGGGAAAATATCAAGGCTCCAAGCATCCATCACACTCACACAAGCATAATAGTAAACTATCCCCCCACACTTAAACTCGACATTGCCCTCAATGGTGTAAGAAAGGGGTAGAATAATGTTATCGCTTGGGCTTGGTGAGTGAAAGTTGGAATCGAATCCGGGGTAGGAAATTTTGAGCTTCAAGGAGAGAAAAAAAAACACACAAACAAACACAATACGACTCGCTCGAGGCGAGGTTATTACAAACACAATATGATAGTAGTAGTAGGACAAACTTGCTAACCTCCTTTGGGTTGCCTCCCAACAAGCGCTTCTTTAATGGCTTAAGCTAGACGGAGACTCCAGGTCATGCATCTTGCAGGAACACCACCTCCTTGTGCGACATTACCTCTCCTCCAAGGTAATGTTTCAGGCGGTGCCCATTCAATTTGAAAATTCCTTCCTCTGGGTAGGAGATCTCAACCACTCAGTATGTGAACGTTTGCGTTACCACATACGGGCCCGACCATTTCGACCTTAGCTTTCCCGGGAATTATTTCAGCCAGGAGTAGTACAAGAGAACCTGGTCTCCAGACTGAAAATACTTCCCTCCTTTCAGACGAGCATAGTGCAGCTGAGCACCAACATGCACAAACCTAAGGATGCTAAGCACAATTATGCACAATCCTTAGGTTGCTAAGCACCAACATGCACTAACCTAAGGATGCCAAGCACAAAACATGAACAATCCTTAGATTGCTAAGCAAAAGCATGCACAATCACATGAATAATACCTCAATCATTGAATTAAACAATACCCAATGACAATTATTCAATTCACATAAAAGAAACTACATGGTAGCTAGTTAAGGTTTCACAACACCCAAGTGAAAAGAAATCTACTCCATTCTGGAAATGGGAGAAACACAAGAAGAAGAGGTAGAAACCATCTTGGAGGAGGCTTCCAATCTTCTAGACCCTTGTGCTAAACTTCTTGTGGTGAGAATCTTCCCAAATCGCACCTTGGAGCAAAACCCTAGCCTCCTTCTCCTTTGGTTAGTATTTCTCTCTCCAATCTAAAGAAGGCTTTCTCACACAATGGGCTCTCTCCTCTCTCTTCCTTTCATCTCATCTTTTAAACAGGGATCATGGTCAGTTCACTACCTCAGCGCACGGCCGTGAACTCTGAAACGCGTTCATGAACTCCCGATAGGCGCTGAAATTCACTGCTTTGCTTCCACAGGTTCACGGCCAACAGCTCTTGTTCACGGTATTAACGACCATGAACTCAATTAGTGTTAGTAACTTGCATTTTGGCCCTGGACGCCTCATTGTTCAAGGCCAATGGCTCTTCTTCATGGTCATACAAGACCGTGAACATCCAAGGGAAACCGTGAACTCGCCGTTTTTCACCTCTTCTCTGGGTTTTCACTCCTTTTCGTCCAACTTTCGACTCCGGGGATGGTTTCACCTGTTAAATCATGAAACACACTAAAACACGAGAAACCTAACGTAAAACCACCCTTTTAGGAGCGAAATTGCCAGAAACGCATAAGGAAAATGGGGGTAAAACATGTACAATTAGACTCGAATCAATGGGGGTCGTATGTTAGTGATCACCCCTATATCACACCATGGGGGTGGTATGTTGATCACCCCTATCACCACATAATGGGGGTGGCAGTATAGTAACCACTCCCCTCACCACATCATAATGGTGACGGTATGGTGGCACCCTGACAACACCATGCAACCCCATGATATTATAATGGGGTGCTTCAATATTTAGCCAAATATTTTAAATAAATGACTAGAGTGGTGCATGATGGTATGGGGTTATATGCCCAAAAACCCATTCCATGTGGTCCACTTTATTTAAAATTTTATAATTAAATTGGTCTTATAAAGCATTTAATGCCTTGTATTTAACAGATGTGGTACAATTTTGATTTTTTGTGTAAGCAGTAGGAGTATTCGGTTAGTACTCTGTCAACTCGAAAATGCATCTTAGAAACATATATGCAAGGACGACAATGTTGCGGCTCATATGATGGATCAACTTGAGACTCGCTACGATGAACGCATTGTTTGGTATGATAGACCTCTGATGATATTGCTGGATCAATTAAGCATGGATAATGTAATAGCTTTCATGATCTAATAAAATCTTACAAGTTTGTAGAAGAAGAAAAAAAGCTAATCTATGAACCAAATTAGTTCACTTTTGTTCATAAAATTTCAATATTGGTGAGAGAGATTGTAGTGAGGGAAAATAGTGAGAGAAAATCCTTTGAAGGCAATTTGTTCGTCTGGTTTCGGGCTTCGTTTCTGGCGGATCACGCCGGCACTTGCGCCGGTGTTCTACTTCTTCTTTTTGGTGGTAATGAGGAGTAATGGTGGATGCGATCCTATGACGACTGAGGGGAAGCCGATTAAGCCATGCGCACAATTGTTCGGAATAGTGGAGGAAAATCGGCTTTGCTATGTAAAGCCCGAAGTCGTTAGTGGGGGATTGCGGATTCCAAAGGAGGTTCGAGATGGTGGAGCGGCGAAGTGCAAACTCTATCTCGTCGATCAGTTCCTCCAATCTCCTCCGGCGTTGTTGGTGATTCGTCTCTGGGAGAAATTGAATCTGGGGGCGTGATGGTTTGATTAGGGTATCGCTGCTCTACGATCAATTGTTCCTCATCCAATTTCCGTCCCAATCTACATATGATTGGATCCTGAAGAGTGGTGTGTGGTTTTATTATGAAAATCTTCTTTACTTGCGACATTGGACTCTAAGAATCAATGCGGAGGACATGGGGCGTGGGGCTCTCCCGATCTGGCTCTGACTCACGAATATTCCGTTGGAATATATTGATATAATGTTCTAATTTGTATTGTGAGTTGGATTGGGGTGCCACTTGATGTGGATCATACTACTAGAAGAGGAGCTCGAATGGGGTTTGCTAGGGTACTGGTTGAGCTGAAGTCTGAGGGTTCTTTTCCAGATCATATGGTGTTGTATCCAGATGAGGGACATCCAATTCGGGTTGGGGTAGAATATTTCCATCTACCATATGTCTGTTCAAGCTGTAAGCTATTCGACCCTTGTGACTGTGGTGGCAAACCCATGAAGAGAGTCTGGAAGCGTAAAGAGGTAAAGGAGTTGGTTAGGGTGGTTTATAAGAATGTGGATCAAGTCGATAAGGGCAAGGCTGTATTGAAGGATCAGAGAAATGATATAGTGCTGCAACTTGCTAGCTGTTCTTATACACCTTCTAACACGCTACAACACAACACCAATCTACAACCAAGTATAATCGCAGAAAGGAAATGCAGAATAGTGGAAAAGTCTAATTATCTCTAGATCTATTGTCTACTCAGTGAACTCCTGTTATCTAGCAGGAACAAGAGAGTGAAGTGTTTTCAGTGCAAAAGAAACAAGGAAACGAGTAGTGGTCTGGTTCTTTCAAGTTCAAAAGGTCATCCGGATATGGATCCCCCTAGTGTGTAGCTAGTTTAGGTTATATAGTCCCAAATTACTCAGATTGATAGGTAAACCGCAGAAAGTTCTTAACTGGTCTGGACTCTTAACCAAAGTGGTCCAGACCCTCTTGATCAAAATACTCGGCAGGCGACTAACCCTCCATCGGTATACTCTAACCAAGGATGATCATGCAAAACTTCCACTACTGCCCTTATATTCCAGTACGGAGCAGTGAATCAACTTCTTTACTAATGCAATCGATTCACCACTTTCAATTAAAGGTTTCTCTTTTAACCTATGCAGAGACTATCATTCTAGGTTAAAGCTGGAATTACACAAGTTTTATCAGGACTCATGCAATTTTGAATAATTCCTCAACTGAATTTATCCAATCAACCATTCATAACATGCGTTCATACAATCATTCCTAACATACACAGCTAGGGTTCTTCATACCCAGATGAAATGGAAGATTACTCAATGGAGAGCTGTGAGAACAACATGCTCGGAGTAGAACAACATGCTCGGAGCTCCGATGTCTTCAGATCGCTCCCATCCTTGACCAAGGGTTTCTCTTCGTCACTCTCTCTCTAGGGTTTGGTTTCTGCCTTTAGAACTCTCAAAAATCGGATCCCTTGAAAATTTCTTGAGAAACCTATAAATAGACTGAGAATCCACGAGTTACGGTCGTAACTCGCCTTGCCAGCCCGTAACTTGCTGAGAAACGGCGCCATTGTTGCACTGTCTTCGTCCAAGAGTCACGACCTCCTTTAGTGAGTTACGGCCTAGACAGTAACTTGAGGAGAGGGACCGTAACTCATAAGACGGTTTTGGAACTCCATTGCAATGCTTCCTAGGAGTTATGGGTGCCCTAGCTGAGTTACGGCCATGACCGTAACATGAGGGGTCAGGCCATAACTTAAGAGAAACTCCTGGAACTCTTTCATGTTCACGTCTGAAACTTACGGGATCGTGTGCTGAGTTACGAGCCAGACCATAAGTTGCAAGGTCTGGCTGTAACTCACATGAGGAAACTGCCCTTCCGCTCCAAATCGTCCGAAACTTTGCTCTTTCGCGCCCTTTCACGTGTTAAGTCCCGAAACATCATAAACGAGCAGAACCTAGCGTAAAATAGGCCACGAGAGCGAAACACCAAGCGAGAATGGTCAAGAAATGACGTGAAAACATGTTGGAACATGTCAATATCAAATTCCCTTAACCGTTTGCTTGTCCCCAAGCAAACAGAATCAGTTACCCGGTAAGCTCAAAATATCTTAACCATGCAAACCTTGGGCACATATCATATCGGCACAACGTGAATGAAACTGGCTACCAGGCCTCAACACATGGCAACAGCAACAGCAACAGCAACACGGGCAACCAGTAAAAATGATATTCGAGTGCAGCAGCGGCTCCCAGTTCGTGCGGCTGAGGAGGGACCGACACTCTGGTCGCAGGGGTAAAACTGGACAGGAGGAGGTGGTGGTGCGGCTGCGGCGGCCTCATCGAATTCTGCAGGACGCAGACCTTGATCCATCGGATCCGCTTATCAGTCCTCGTGACCCGGATCAGATCTCGCTACCCGGATCATGCCCATGGCAATCAGGGTCTCGTCAAGGAAGTCTCGGGCCCGCCCGACAAAGGAGAAGCCATCCAGGGGTACTCCGAAGAACCGGGCCAGCTGAGTGATGAAGGACCCTCCATGCAAGGTGGTGACCTTTGAATGATTCCTCACCCGAGAGAAGGAGATCGACAGAACGAAACCCAAGTTGAGACCGTCCCCTGGATGCGACATGGAGATGAGGGCGTACATGTGGCGCTTTGTCACCTGTCTGGACGCCTCCTGAAGGAAGCGCCACGGAGCCTGAAGCTGACTGGCCCTTGTGCGACTGTGCGTGTAGGGCACAACTGCGTGCTCGTGCAAGCAGATCCCCTCGTAGAAGGACTGGAAGTTGGCCTGCGGGAAAGTGGGCTTGACATCACGCAGGGTTGTGGAGTCCAGGCCCAAGGTGGTGGTGAACTCGGCGTAGCTCAGACTGTGGTGGTGACCGCCGAGTCGGAAGCTGACCACACCTTCATGATATGTCAGCTTCTTCCGAGTGTGGGTAAAGGTGCTGTAGACTCCAGGATCAGCTCTTCGTACATATCGTCCTGGAGCCCCAGCAAGCGGCGCCACTGCGGGTGAGGAATGGTCGCAGCGATGGCGTCGCGGCACATGAACTGGTAAAGTTAGTCGAGATTGAGAGTGTAGTGACTCCCAATCGTGGCCGCCTGCACCTTGGTGAATGCCGCATCGTAGGCCTCGGTATACCGGAGGCCCTGCAGATAGTCGTGGTCCATAATAACCATTTTCCTGCAAAATAGACAATCACAGCCTCGAAACCTGTTAGTAACCACAATAATCGGGGGAAACAGATCCACTGGTCGAGCGTTCCACCCCCCCCCCCCACACACACACTTAAGTACTAATCACTGCAAAATGGGGCAAGTGACGAAGTTCTGACATGGACAAGCACATTACACAGTCAACCATTCTCCCACCTAAGAATCTAAACATGCAATACTGGTTCAACTACACTACACTCTACAATTCAATTCTCCAACACAAAGTTAAGGGCAAAAAGACCAACCTGGAGACACAAGGAGGATACTCGAGCGAGGGGAGAAGGCGGGAGAAGGTCAAGCAAGCTTAGAATGCCAAAAAGTTCCGTCGGGCATCGCCGGAGATGATCTCCGACGAAGATAGAATGGAGGCAACGGGGAGAGGAAGATGTCGGCCGATGCGCTTCAAAGAGGGGAGACCAACGACACAAAAGGATCCGCGATCGAACGTCGGGAGCGGCGGGGAGGAGCGTTTGAAGGCTCGGTGGCGCTGGAAGCTCGGCGACGGGGAAAATTTCTGTCTGCTAGTGCGGAGTGACGAGCGTAAGTCGCACTTAAATAGATGAAGCCGAGTTACGGCTTCATCGGACGAGTTACGGCTGTAACTCGCTAACTCGGAACAAGTCAGCAAGTTACGGGATGATCTGGCGAGTTACGGGCTCAACGCGGGCCGTAACTCCCTGATCGTCCTGAGACGGGAGAATTACAAGCGAGGGAGAGAGTTACGGGCATGCCCGTAACTTGCCCCTCGAGCCCGTAACTAGGGAAAACAACCCTTTTTGTCCAGAAGCTCGCTGGAAGTTACGGGCGAGGCCTCCAAGTAACAGCCAAGGTCGTCACTTGAGGTCTCAGGCCGTAACTTCTGGAGAGTTTCCGCTCGTCTCCGCCCAAACGCACCAAAAACGTCCCCAAACACCAAAAAGCTCCCCTCGGGCCCCCCGTGGCCAAAATTTCACCAGAACGACACCACAATACAAAATAATCGACAAGAAAACTCCATGTTCGACACACAAAAACAAAAAAAAAACAAAAAGGATTGAAATACAAAGCAAGGTAGGGTTGCCTCCCCACAAGCGCTTCTTTACCGTCTTTTAGCTGGACGTACATGGAGGAACTAAGGGTACGCGAGATCAATTACCCACTCCGCGCGTTCGACATCGCCTCCCACATAAAGTTTGAGGCGATGCCTGTTTACCTTGAACAGCTCAGTCTGCGAGTTGGCAATCTCGATAGTGCCATACGGAAACACTTGCGTGACCATGAACGGTCCAGACCACCAGGAGCGGAGTTTTCCAGGAAAGAGTTTTAGCGAGAGTTATAGAGAAGAACTCGATCGCCAACCTGAAATTCCTTCGGGCCCCTCAATCGAGCGTCGTGAAGACGCTTCGTTTCCTCCTTGTATAGCTTAGTGTTCTCGTAGGCGTGGAACGCCATTCCTCCAACTCCAGCATCTGCATCTTGCATTCAGCACCAGCAAGACTCACGTCTAGATTTAGCAGCTTTAGGGCCCATAATGCCTTATGCTCTAGCTCAACAGGCAAGTGACGCACCTTTCCATAGACAAGCCAGTACGGAAAAATACCGATTGGCGTCTTGTAGGCAGTCAGGTATGCCCAGAGAGCATCATGGAGCTTGGTGGACCAATCCTTACAAGATTGATCCATGTTTTCTCAATTATGCGCTTAAGCTCTTGATTCATCAGCTTGGCCTGACCACTCGTTTGGGGGTGGTAGGCCACGGACACCTTATGAGTGACACCATAGCGAGATAGGAGTTTATCGAATTTGCCCTGAAAATGGGTGCCTCGATCGCTGATGATGGCTCTATGTGTCCCAAATCAGGAAAACAACTGCTTTAGAAACTGGCAAACACGTCTAGTATCATTGGTGGGCAAAGCATGCGCTTCAGCCTACCTAGAGACGTAATCAACAGCAACTAGGATGTAGAGATTACCAAATGATGGAGGAAATGGTCCCATGAAGTTGATGTCCCATACATCAAAAATCTCACAAGTAATAA